TTTCAACTTGGCAGAAGGGATTATAACGGTTATTTTAAATGGCACATTTAAAGATATATTAATGTTCTTTCTTGATATATTAGGCTCCTCTTGATTCTTACGTTGCTTATATTATTCTTTGGAAGACTTTACAATTATATATGAATCTGATATATTCTTAAAGTATATCTAACTTAACCTATTAACTGTAAAATTTTTTTTTTTGAAATTTTTGGCCGGATAAGTTATATATATGCACAAAAAATTGTATAACAGTATAATTATATTCAAATTATGTTTTGTTTTGAGCCCCAAATGGAGATCGTGGCAGCTAATGGGTTAATGAAATGTTCAATGTTATTTCTATATTATGTAATTCTCAATTAATAAAGAATAGTTTGATTAATTAGGTGCCATAAAGTAGTAAATCTGTTAGCACTTTAATCTTATTTACATATACAGGTTGCTATTATTATTAGGAACGTTAAAAAACCCTTATTTTTGTTTTCAATGAAAAATATTTTTTTTCATAAAATGTAATTTTTCGTATTAAACAACTTGTACCGATAAAAGTGCGTTAAATAATAAAATGTTTCAGATGAAACGAGTTTATTTTTAAAAGAGCTATCTTATAATACCCCACACGACTCACTTTCCCTATGCTGTTTCCAAAAGTGGTATCATTAATTCATCAACTTCCAGTTCAATGTGGAAGTTGTTAATATCACCATCGTTCGTTTTCCTCCTGAAACTTTCTCATTACAGCTATAATTTCAAAGATATTTGACAATATTAATTAAAATGAAACACCCTCTGTACATATGCGTATGCGTGCGTACGTGCGTGCGTGCGTGCGTGCATGCGTGCGTGCGTGCATGCGTGTGTGTGTGTGTATAGCATATATATATGTATATATATATATATATACATATCGATATATATATATATATATATGGGTCATTCCATGTGAAAGGGGTACGCTCAAAAATTAGATTTGATCGAAACCTATGGCAATCGGTAGTACTATTTTAGAAAACATTTGTCGAATTTTTTCGGATTTTTTGACCCACACCATGAGCTTCTATGGCTGTCATAAAATTCGAATTTTTGCTTCGACTACCAGTTTCTTAATTCTCGTCGTCGTCGTCGTGCCAATAAAAAAAATCTGAAACCATTGTAACTTTATAGCATTTTTCCCGTAGAATCTGAAAAAAATATTTTAGGGGGTAATTTTCACCCTTATTTTGAGATTTTAAAGTTTAAAATCGAAATTTGGCAAAGTACGCCACCTTCAATTTTTTTTTGTTTTTTTTATTTTATTCCTTTTTAAATTTGCTTTCGATTAAGTCATGTCTCATGATGGTAATCGACCTGGAACAGGCCCAACATAAGGCCCAAAGGCAAAAATCCACCTTTTTACCGTTATATCTCAACCCTCAAGACGGTTGGGCCTGTTCCAGGTCGATTACCATCATGAGACATGACTTAATCGAAAGCAAATTTAAAAAGGAATAAAATAAAAAAACAAAAAAAAATCAAAGGTGACGTACTTTAAGAAATTCCGATTTTAAACTTTAAAATCTCAAAATAAGGGTGAAAACTACCCCCTAAAATTTTATAAATATTTTTTTCAGATTCTACGGGAAAAATGCTATAAAGCTACAATGGTTTCAGATTTTTTTTATTGGCACGACGACGACGACGAGAATTAAAAAACTAGTAGTCGAAGCAAAAATTCGAATTTTATGACAGCCATAGAAGCTCATGGTGTGGGTCAAAAAATCCGAAAAAATTCGACAAATGTTTTCTAAAATAGTACTACCGATTGCCATAGGTTTCGATCAAATCTAATTTTTGAGCGTACCCCTTTCACATGGAATGACCCATATATATATATTTTTTTTCCCTCCGATCACGCATTTATTGTCTGTAATCGCCATAAAGTAATGTGTGGTCACAACAAAATAAAGAATAATATTTTATAATATTTCTCTTTTAACAATTGGCAGAAGACAGCAGGACTAGAAATATCATTAAATCCAGAAAATTGATCTTTCATTCAAGATATTGTACCAGAAAAGGTGCTTTGTAAATCTCGCAGATGATCGTAAAAGTACTTCGAAGATAAAACAACAATGAACTATAACGTTCAATAGAATAGAGTCAATTCGATAGTTTTATAAACGACAATGTCACGATCCTTCAAATGTAACTTGTATCATCTTACAAGATTCTACTGAACCGATCAATCGATCGTCCTCACTAAGGTTACACAATTACATCGAAATCACGAGATACACGCAATTCTTAGTCACAGTGTTCTCGAAGCTAATAGGTTTCAAGGTTTCTGATGAGTTCTCATATGCAGCACAAGGTTATGCTTGTGCTTCGATTTCTTATGGCAGATGGGACACTCGAACTGCGGCTCCACACCACACTCGAACTTTATATGCCTGTTCAGCGAATGAGGTCTGCTGTAGGCGTTGCCGCAACGTGGACAAGAGTACCATCCCGTGGAATCGCGAATCGGTCCAGCAGTTGACTGACTGCCGTTGACTTCCACCTTCGATTGGCCGTTTTGTATTTTTATCGCGTTGACGTATTTGCCAGGACAACCGCTCGTCGGGTCCTCAATCGTCGTTGTTTCCGTCGTCGTCTCTGTTAGCTGATTCTCCGCCATCAATCGCAGATACATCGTCTGGTACTGATAATACCATTCGATCGCAGCACTTGGCGAGTAGTTGCGTTCTAGAAAACACACATTAGGATCAGTACAGGCTTCGATCGAGATCTTCGCACTATTTCGTCTCGGGGATCGTGGTTAGCCTAAAAGGGATTATTATCGATCACAAGGACACGGACGTATACATAGCATGAGTCGAGCTACATGTAGCCATACACCATGAAAGCGGTTGTCAGCAGAGCGTCCTAGATATTTAGGATCTTCTTGGGATCATGGGATCTCTTTCTCGGAGATAGAAGGAGAATTTTGTCGTGGGACACATATATAGATTAGTCTTGTTTACATGTTTACATGTTCGAAATTATTCAAAATTGCTCTTCAATTTGTATAATATTATACGATCGAGAAATGGAATATAATTTCTGATTGGGTCTTGCGTTTAAAAATTTCATCCTACATGCGATATCTCTGACAATTATTTTATTTTAAAGCGCACCGGAGCTCATGTCGTATTGATAACAGATATATTTTTTGCTGTTTTGATCATAATCAATAGCTCGTTGACTTCTTAGACTCCCTTTGTATTTGTAGCTTCCCTCGCACACTCATAATTTTATTTTTATGGAATATTTTTATAACTTATTCTATAGCCGCACGCGAGTTTTCTGATTCGCACCTGAAAATTGGAAAACTAGTGATTAATGTGCTGGGTATAGTCGATTTGTACCCAGGAATCTCTTCGTAAAAAATATTAATATTTATATTAATTAATTATATTAATTAAATATTGTGATTATTTCATTATAATAGTTGGATAAATCCATCTTAACTCACAATCCTGATATGATGATATTAAGAGAAGATATGATTTATTTATCGATAACTAGTTTCATTCTTGCCATCGAGCACAAAAGATATCGAGATTTGATAGACTATAACAATGCAAATTGATACGAATAATTAAATCAATATGCAGTTAAGTTTTTTTAGAGTAGCTTCTGAAAATTAGAAAATACGGAAAACCCGAATAACTTGTTGACGTTAACGTGCTGGGAAATACGCGTTCAAATTTCTATATTATGGAGGAGAAACAAAGATTACATAAATAATATAAATAAATACAAAAAACAAAAAATTAAGTGGAGTAAGGAATATTGTATGTTACAGGCTCAATACAGATATGTAGTGTGTTTTATCGGAGAGGTATATTTTTAATTTTCTGTCTATAATATATAAAGAGAGGAAAAAGATCGTGCAGCATATCTCATGACACAAATAAATTAATTAATTTCCATTTCTTCTCAACCACCATTGTCAAGCTTACACAACAGAAAATATCTTTTATCAGGCTTCATAGCCTCGTTCCTTTTTCTTCTTTTAATGTCGCAGTGTTTCATGTAACGAAACACAATCTTCTTCAATCTGTACAAATTATCTTCGGGCAATTAATTATTCGCCGCAGTCAGTCTCAATTCAGATCACAAATATTTCGAGCGTCGCGCGACACAACGCGAAATCTCGCGACTCCCGATAAACAATACTCGCTTTAGTCTTTTCCATTTCTGTCACCCGCGAAAGAGTATCAGCCGGTGATATGGTGCGCGGTAATGTGGTTTCGCAGTTCGTATCGGTACTTGAACTTCCGATCGCACAAGTGACAAGAGAACTTTTTCTCCTTGTTACCGCAGTCCACTCTCTGGTGTCTCTTCAGACTGTCCTGCCACTTGTACTTCTTGCCACAGTCGGTGCAGATGTATTCAGCCTGCATCATCGGTATGTACGTGTCTCCGGTGTACATGTGAGCAACGGGATAGCCAGGTCCCGAGGAATCGTGCAATTTCGAAGAATACGACTTGCTCGGGAACGGGAGGGACTCTTGCTCCTCTTGACCAATGCTGCGCGCCTTCCTCTCCAACATCCACAGGGCGTCGTATCTCTGTGGCTGGTCCTCTCCTGCGGCAAGAAAGCAGAGCGCCGGAAATTAGACGATGTCCGGATCGCTCGAGACGGGATCGAACTTATCTCGCGATCACCTCGTGCCACGACCCTCGATTAGGTCGTAGCGTATGAATACGGTCTAATGTAGGCATGCAGTGATCGGAAAAAAGTTTAAGGCTAATGAGAGTACTTCCGGCACGCGACGAGTCCCTTCAACGATTTGTTCTGTAACGTGGGATACCAAGTTATGGAACAAATTTCGTGGTTAGTACGCTACTCGTGCATAAAGAACTTCTTTATGACAGGCTCCCTCTGTGTGCATATGGAATCCTTGATATTAGATTTGACCGATTGCCTAATTTCGTGGCCGAATGAATTTCCACAGTATCATGGTTGTTTTAGATTCAAAATCCAAACGCCTGGGAACTAAGTGACATAATTTTTCTTTTCTTCTGTTAATACTTTTTCGTAATTTTTCTCTCGCATTTGGAAAACTATAATTATTATCGTATGATATTCGTAACGAAAGACGGACCCTGCGATTTTAATTTTTTCCGTGTACATGTCCGCGATGAGATCTTTACGTATATCTTACTATGAAAACAAAAAAGAACATAATTAGTCGTGTACAGAAGAATAAAGCCAAGCACGTTATTTATTTATGCCTTATATTGTATACTTAATAAACTGACAGTCGTTATTCAGGAGGAACACTTTTATTTGTTAATGATGTGTAAGGCGAAACATATATTATTCATACGAAATCAACGTGTGGTTCCAATGATCTGCACAGTGATTGCTATAATCGAGTAATATATTTGTCTAAATATCCTACTATTTAAAATTTAAATCGAACATTAGAGACTTATTTACATACTCTTTTTTTGGATTATGTACACGTTTATCTTGTGGAGATATTTTCTCGTAAATTCAGAATTCAGTGCATCTTCATGTATTGGCCATAAAGAAAAATCTAGATCTCTCTCTTTCTCTTCCCTGTCGTCAATTGCATGTATATACGTAAGAAAAATGCTAGATTCAAGTAAATAATTATTCTAATATTCTTTAGCAAACTTTTAATTAGATTAAGTACATATTTTTCCAAGTAATCCCAAGTAATAACTTGGATACAGTACTTTTTTCTATATTCAAGTAATTACTCGATTCAAGTAAAAAAATTTGTTAAAAAATATAGGAGTAATTATTTTCTTGGATCTAGCACTTTTTCTTGTGTACGAATATACAAGAGAAATGAGTAGTACTCATCCTTAATAAAGCAATATGACAGTATTGCACAATTAATGATACGCTACAATTTGATTTGCGAGAAACAACTCAGCCGTTGTTGCCGCACGGTGGTACGACTCTCCTCACTTAAGAGCGCGTCTCAGCAAATGATAATACATAGCCGACATTTTTATCTGGACAAGCACACCGTGCACTTCTGTTTGTATGAGAGACGATAACACTTGATCCGCATCGCATTAACTCTCGATATACCTTCGATTGTATCTCGGAAACTGAACGACGTCAACAGAATTTTCATCACCGCATTCTCTTTACAGGCTCGCCTTGTCCACCTTTAAAGCATGATTACTCTCTTTGTCACCGCACACCAGTCGCTGATGGCGGCGTAGAGTGTCCAGCCTTCTGTATGTTTTGCCGCACTGATTGCAATAGTACTCCTGCTGCTGAAGCCTCTCCAGCTTCTCCTGTCGGTCTTGAAAGGACGCCAAAAACTCGTCGCACTTCTGCTGATGGCGTTTCAGGCTGTCAACCCGTGTGTAAGCCCGGCCACAGCCGTCGCAGCGGAACTGCTGGCAGGACTTGGCGCTTTTCTGTACCACGTTGGCCTCCACGCTGTTCAGAATCGACGAGTCGCAGAGCAAGTAGTTCATCGTCAGTTGACCGTGAAACGGCACCTCACAGACCTCCGGCTCCTCGTCATTGCTCTTGTCCGCACCGCACTGTCCGTTCTCATCTGCAAAGACATGATAATCCGTTAAGAAAAACAAGGGCACACGCGCAGGAACGACCAACAAGCGAGCAGCGTACAGCCAGCGGCATGCATATATTTATGAATTACCTTCTGGTTTCGATTTTAACAATTATAGGGTCGGAGGAAAATGAGAAGGAAAATTTAGGAATTATCTCGATACGCCAATATTTCGATCGTTAGTTATGAAGGCTTTTCGGGATTTTTTGAGAGGCTAAAAAAGAAGCGATATCGAGAGACAATCTCGAGTATACGGTATGTATTTCTTTGTATTTTTTGAGTAAAACGTCGAATAGAGTTTGGAAATNAGAGAGAGAGAGAGAGAGAGAGAGAGAGAGAGAGAGAGAGAGAGAGAGAGAGAGAGAAAGGAGAGAGAAATACAAGTGAAAACAAAGATAAAAAGAGAAAAAGAGCTACCTTCTTGAAATCTGCACTTTTATTTATTAGAAAAATAATGAGGCTAAATGGGCACATTGTTACATACTCCGTATGCATTTTCACGATTACAAAGAGGTAACTCTTATAGACACAAAGAAGGCCTAGAACGCAACAGACAGTCTAAACTGTTCGTCGAGAAATAAGCTATCCTTACAAATGTCATATACATTACACTCTGCGGGCAGACGATATTGATATAACAATCATTCGACTTCAAATATATATCGCGCGCACCAGGTACTAATCATTTTGTTTTTGTCCAGCTCCCGTGTAGATAATTACTTAACTTTACATTTTCTCCTCTTTTTTATTATTTATTTCTAGGTTTAATAATACGATATCTAGTAAATCTGCGAACAAATTATAAACAAAAGATATTTCCGCCGCCGGTAAACAAATAGACTATACTTAAGATCAGTGCAATATAAACGATTCCCGAATTAGGATAGTACACAGAGAAATGCTTCTTCTTTTCACGGAACGAAAAACACGTGAGAAAATTTAAGTTGATTCCTGTTCCGTTTTTACTAATTCGGACGCATGAACACTCTCTATGTGATGACGCAGGGAATGAGGCTTATCAAACTGCTCGCCACAATAACGGCAACACTTGACTTTGCTTTTAACTTTGCAATAGAGCTTCTCGTGTCTTTTGAGGCTGTCGTTTCTCGAGAACCTCTTGCCGCACTCCTTGCAAATGAGCGGCACCAGCTTCTTCTTGCGATGTTCCAAAGGATCTGATGATAAGTCGTTGTAATCGGTGGCGACGAAATCGAAGTAATTTTGCGAAATGTCATTGGCGGTCTCCTGCTTTACGAGCGAATCAGTTAGCCAGTCATACAGCTCCGCATGATCTATAAAAAAAAAGAAAAATGGAAACATTCGTTAGATACATGTCAGACCATTTACGCATCGCGAATAACGAAAAACGGGAAAAACTTTCAAGGAAAGACGTAAGTGCATGCATATAAAGATAGAGAAAAAGAGATAGAGGGGAAAAGGAGCGATCGTCTATAAGTGCACTTTGTCAGTAAATTGGAAAAGTACAATTTCGTTGATAGAGTGTAGAAACGCAAAAAACGAAAAGAATTTGCGTAGAAAACTTAAAAGTAGAACCTTAAGAAATACAATAAATTCAGTGGGCATACAGTTGTTATTATAGTCCAATTATATATTCAGTTGTTATTATAGTCCAATTATATTATTCCATTGATAAATTCAGAAAAGGAAAGTATGCATAACAAAACTAAATATCAATTTGTTTTTTGTATTTGTAAATTTTCGATAATCTAAAGCATTGCTAATATTGCATCACAATGTTGATACACATGTGTGAATTTTATTTGCTATAACATGAAATCAAATTATAAATAAAGTAAACGTAAGATAGCAATGGGCATCATCTTTCTCGAAATGCATTTTCTATACATTTACATTACATCTTATTCGTCGCTTTATTTCGATGTAGTGCTTACAAAATTTATGGCTTTATAATCATATGATAAGATTCGTTGTAAAAATACAACGAATCGAAGAATAATCACAGCGAAAAAAAAATCTCTAGTCTTTTCAGAATTAAATCGAAATCACCGATATTAATTTTAAAATTGCTATAATTATATCACTTTCCTATATATCATTTTAACAATTTTAAAATAATATAGGAAATAATAATTAAAATAATAATAACAAATTTATAAGAATTACGCTAATTGATCTCGAACTGCTGCTAATATAATTTAAGTAGGCAAAAGTTAGAAGAATAAGCTGTTGTCTGTTCAGACAATATTAGCAGCAGCTCGTAATCAATTAATATGTTAAATACCCCATATTTAGATTATGAGATCCAATTAGAGATGATTTTACTAAGTATTTTGCCTAATCGGATACAACTCATCAGTTGAAAATGTATTAAATAATTTAATTCTGTATATGATCATATATGACTAGAGAACCCTGGTGAGGTTTATATTCGAATCCAACACGATGCTCAATGTTTTGAAATAAATTTTTATTATTACTTTTAAAATTATTTTTTTTATATGTACCAAATGTTTCAACAAAAGTGAGCTGGCTAAATATAGCCGTATAGGATACAACAATGCAAACAAAATGTCTGTATAAACATGATGCCTAAAACGCTCAATTGACAAGTTAAGGCCATATAAAAATTAAAGAGAAGAATTGTGTTATATATACACACTGATTTTAGTGTTAACTTTAT